TATACAGGTCAGGGCGGGTCGACCCGCCCGACGCGGGCCAGGTCTCGGGATCGTCCTGGCAAACTCGTAGCGGGGCACGAGCCAGGTCGGGCCATGCGTGTAAGGTCGCGGGCCAGGTCTGGGCATGGCACTACCCGGCCCGACCTGGCCCATTGCCATCCCTACTCTGAGCAAGTCTTTGACTATGATTGATATCCTTTTCAAGTATATATATTAAATAATAAGGCTGTTGGTAGGCATGCCCAAATGGTCCGACAAACTTTACTTTTTTAATAATTTTGTGTATTTTTATACTTGAATATCATAATTTACAAAACAATTAAAAGAAAAGTATGACATTTTGCATGCATTTTTCTTGGCAAAAAATGTTTTTTGGTCCCTTAAATGACCACATTTTTTGCTTTTGGTCCCAGTAAAGGTCTGTTTTTGGAAATGGTCCTGTAAGTTGAAAAAAAATAGTTTTTTTGTCCTCTGACCGGCTATAGCAGGTCAAAGTGACTGGCTACGCCTACATGGAAATCCCTTTAATACGTGGTAGTTCGGTGGCATCAATCTGCCTACATGTAAATTTTGTTTAATTTTTTCTTTTTTTTTTATTTGTTGAGGTGGCAGGTGGCAAATTATCAAAAGAAATGACGACAAGGTGATTCGAACGATGTACATCATTTGCACAAATGAGACTCATTACCCGCTTGACCTACATGATCATATCTATAGTAATATAAAGAGGTTGTTGGAAAAATACAAAAAAAATAATTTTGACTTTAAAAATATAGTGTTGACTTACTATTAGTAGAAATTTTGAAAAACGCACATGTGAATCTTTAGAAATCAAATTTAAGGGAGTTTTATCCCAAAAAAATGTGGAGATTCTTAAGGTAACAAATTTGGAGATTCTTATGCCAAAATATAATTCATTTTATAAATACGAATCTCATTTTTATGGGTAATAAATTTGGAGATTCTTATGCCAAAAAATTAAAATTTTGAATTGAGATATCCCAACAAATACGAAATTTTTTTACATTCAAATTAATGTTTCAAATCAAACAAAAAATTATTCCGAGAATAAGGGATGTTGTATTAAATATTGATAAACTCCAATCCTTTATAAATGATTTATATTTATGAATTTTGTGTGTAAATATATTGATTTTTTTCCTAAATAATACTAAATTACATTATTTTAGGACCTAAATCCTAACTTCTTTTCTATTTTTTGGTGGTTTATATTCTTTAATTAAAATAATATTTGACTTATTTGATTAAAACAACTTATTTTCTTTAGAAAATAAATTTAAGTGAGATATCCCAAAAAAATTTGAGATTCTTAAGGTAACAAATTTGGAGATTCTTATGCCAAAATTTAATTCATTCCATAAATACTAATCTCATTTTTATAGGTAACAAATTTGGAGATTTTTATGGCAAAAATTGAAATTTTGAATTGAGATATCCCAACAATTATGGACTTTTTTTTTTCCATTCAAATTAATGTTGCAAATCAAACAAAAAGTTGTTCCGAGAATAATGGATGTTATACTAAGTATTGATAAACTTCAATCCTCCATAAATTATTTATATTTATGAATTTTGTGTGAAAATATATTGATTTGTTTTTCTTAAAAATAATAAATTACATTATTTTATGACATATATCCTAACTACTTTTCTATTTTTTGGTGGTTTATATTCTTTAACTGAATTAATATATGACTTATTTGATTGAAACAACATATTTTTAGCCATATAATCATATAATATAAAAAATTCACGACTTAAATATATATATCTATGAATATATAAAAAGGCAAAATATTTAGCTGTGAATAGTATGTAAAATCTCGCCTAAAATTTTTGTTTTTACTGATAATGAATTTATTAAAAAATCCGTAAATTCCCACCCAAAGCAAAAGATTTATATATATATACAAAAAAAGGTTTGAAAATCCGGGCAAATCTCTATCTATAGATATTTTTTTGTCCATATCTATTAAACTACAAAATCTTTTTAAAGTTTGGAAAGAATCTCATATTATGTGAATTCCTGGTGAATATTTTTTTTTTCATATTTATCTAACTACAATATCTTTTTAAAGGTTAGAAAGAATCCATCTTTTTAAAGTTTGCACTCAATTGATCCCTTATATAAACCCCTCCCCACCCAGTTATAAAACCCTAAGTTTGAGACCAAAAAAAAATCAGTTAGTCACAAATAAACAAAATCACAAAAAACTCCTAAATAAAAAATTCAAATCAACCTATCGAATCCTAGGGTTTACTTCGACATAATGATCAGCAGCTAGCCCCGCCGCTGAATCGTGATGGAGCTCTTCGCCGACGTCGTCACGAAGACCGACAAGAACTTTTGCGCCCTATGCACCAACGAGAAGGACGACGGAAAATCTGGCAAGCCCCTCCACCACAAAGGGTCATCCTTCCATCGTGTAATCCCCAATTTCATTTGTCAGAGCAATGACATCACTGCGGGTAACGACAGCAAGTCGATCTACGACGCCAAGTTTACCGAACGAGAACATCATGAGAAGCACACCGAGACCTGTCGATGGAGAAGGCTGTTCCGGGGACAAATGACACTTACTTTTTCATATGCACGACAAGGACGAAGTGGCTTGACAACAAGCACGTGGTGTTCGGGCAGGTGGTGGAGGAGTACGACATATTGATGGCGGTGGAGAATGTCGGGTCGGGGAGCCACCGGACCTCGAGACAGGTGGTGATCGCCGACTGCAACCAACTCCAGATCTGATGGTTGTGTGTCATTTAATTTGAAGTTTGTTGGAGACTATTTTCATAACTACCTAATAATTGTCTTCTGATTTGTTAAATTTGAAATTAAAAAATAGTTTGTTGGGTACTTTTTTTCATAACTACCTAATAATTTGTCTTTTTAATTTGTTTAAATTTGAAATTAAAAAATGAAGTTCATGTCACGTTCGTAAATCTCTGGAAATCATATAAGAATTTTATATTATATGACCGATTGGTTCCTAAATACTTGGCGCATAAATACAATCATTTTTTAAAATTTAAAAATTTTACGATTACATATAAATATTTCCTCAAATTGTCATATTTATCTTTTTAAATTTATTAAAGTTTTAAGATTACTATTAAATATTTTTTCCAATGGTCATAGTTATCCCAACACATTTTATCACACTAAAAATAATAAAATGTTTAAACTTTAGTAATTATATTTAAAAATAAAGTTTTAAATAGGTTTTGAGGAACAAGCCTCACCGTGCATCGCACGGGTTGCTCACTAGTGTTAAAAACTTGACTTCAGATATATATCTATCCATAATTCAAAATCATTTTATTAAAAAAAATTACTAATAATACAAATATAAAATAATAATACATATAATAACTTATTTATTATTTAGTAAATAAGAGAATAATAAAATAATAAAAAATAATTTACCAAACTAATTTTTTAATGTATTTATTTATAAATTAAATATATGAATAAATAATATAATAATTATATTATTAAATAATATATTGAATAAAAATATTAAATATTATAATTAAATTATATATGTTTTAAATAAATATTTACCAAATAAGTAAATATAATAAATAATAATATTTACCAAATAAATAAATAAATAAATAATATAATAAATAAATAATCTTTGCTAAATAAATAAATATAAATTAAATAATATAATAAATTTTGTTTTTACATTACATGAATATTTACCAAAAAAAATATATTAAATAATATAATAAATAATAATATTTACCAAATAAATATATTAAATAATATAATAAATAAATATTTTAAATAATAATATTTACTAAATAAAAATATATTAACTAAAAAATCTAACAAACAAATAAACATTCACTAAATAAATACATATATTAAATAACATAATAAATAAATATATTAAATAATATAATATATTAATTACGACTAGAACTAAATAAAATAATGAATTAAAAATATTTTAAATTATTTTATTTTTTAATTATATACTTTATTATTTAGTAAAGTTATAAATAATAAAATAATACAAAATAATTTAATAAATAAGTATTTACTAAATTAATATATAATATAATAAACAAATATATTTACAACTTAAATAAATGTATTAAATAATAAAATGAAATTTTATTTGAATATTAAATAAAAATTTACCAAATAAATAAATATTTGAAAAATAAATACACATACTAAATCATATAATAAATAAATATATTAAATAATATAATGATTAATAATATTTACCAAATAAATAAATATATTAAATAATATAATATATTAATTACGAACTAAAACTTAAGAAAATTAATAGTATTTTAAATTATTTTATTTTTTAATTATATGCTTTATTTAATTATATTTTGTTCTTATATATATATATATTTGGATAAAAGGATGTTGGTAGATATATAGGTGAAGACAAATACTTAACACAAGATGTGTCAGTTCAAGTGGTTCATGAGTTCTTTTCTAGGGCAAGTAACCCTGGTTTGAATCATCTTCCTTGGAACTTTTTTGCAACTGTGCCACATAAGCGGTCATGAAGCTTTACAACTCAGTAAAAAAAAAATTATTCAAGTAAAATTTCCACATAGGCAATCGGGCACTCTGACCTGCTATAGGCGGTTAGTGGACCAAAAAAATATTTTTTTCACTTACAGGACCATTTCCAAAAACGGACCTTTACTGGGACAAAAAGCAAAAAGGGGGTCATTGAAGGGACAAAAAAACCTATTTTACCCATTTTCCTTCGAGAAGTATGTTGAGCAACTGAAATAAGTGTCTATTCAAAATAAATCAGACAATAGAGAATAATCAACTAGCTACTCATGGGCGGATTTAAATAGGGGCGTGTAGGGGCACAAACCATTGTGCAATTTTTAAAAATATTTTTTATATATATTCACATAATTACACTTGGATATTTATTTTATGTACCATAATTTTATTATAATAAGAATATAATTTAAGTTAAATATCTTAATTTTAAATATATGATGGTTGAAGATCNAAAAAAAAAAAAAAAAAAGAAGAAGAACAAATCCAAGTTCACATAGGATTCCAAGCTTTTGCAATAAAAATTTTTTAAGTTGTTTTTTCATTGACCTCCTCACTGGCTGGACATGCCCTTTTTTGTGTGTGTGAGAAAGTGAAAAGAGGGAAAGATAAGTTTGGTCAAAAAGTAACCGCGGATCATTTACTGTCTGCTACCATAACCATTATTTAGCTTTTAAGGAGATTATTTGCCTTCCTTTAACAAGGCTTTATTAAATTGACCCCTCATGTGATTTGTTAATGAAGTAAGTCAAATACTTGCATTTAGACAGGCCATCTACCTCACTTACTTTCTTTTTTTTCATGCTTTTGTTATATCCACTTACCTGTTTGAAAATATTAACTTCAATAATAACAAAATATATGCAAGCATATGGTTTAAACGTGTTCATGTTATATTTATAATTAATATTAAAAATAATCAGTTTTGCTATGAATCCACTTACCTGTTTGAAAATATTAACTTCAATAATAACAAAATATATGCAAGCATATGGTTTAAACGTGTTCATGTTATATTTATAATTAATATTAAAAATAATCAGTTTTGCTATGAAGCCAACTGTTGGCTTCATAGTAAAACCGTAGAAATAACTATGACCAGAATTTGTTCAAAATTAGCCAGAGAAAGAGAATTTTATTGTTTTTTTTTTCATAATGTTCACAATGTCTTTACCAAAAGCGGTTGCTTTCTATTTGATGGAGACGAGATCGCGATCACGTTTATTGTTTTTTTTTTCATAATGTTCACAATGTCTTTACCAAAAGCGGTTGCTTTCTATTTGATGGAGACGAGATCGCGATCACGTTTCTAGAAAATATGATCGGCTCTGAATTTTGATTATTTATTTTCTATTATTATTGATCCTTTTATAATTATTTCCTTAGGGTTAGTAATTAAATAAATATATGGCCTAACTTGTTAGACAAGATAAGTATGTTAGGAAACGTGAGACTCTATATATATATTGTTCTTCTTTCTCTTTGGTCGATCGACCAATACAGAAATATTAAGAAATTTTGTGAGCTTTACTCATCTAATTCTCAATTGTATACCACGCTACATCAGTTAGTATCAGCAGCCAGCATGATTCACGATGCTGCCGCGACGAAAAGATGCAGCAAACTACCGGCATGACTCTGCCGTCACTGATCATTTTCAGTAGATAGACGATCGATTCCAGTAGGAACATCGGTTTGCAGATCTTTCGAGGGGGATCAATGAATTGCATCTCGCTCTTCATACCATAGTGTAGGGTGCGCACACGAACCGCGACGCTGGTAACCAGAGCGAGCGCAGGGGCTTTCACAACGGATGTGGAGGACGTGGCTTCGGCAGGGCACCTCACCGACATTCGCCTCAACCGCCGCTCGGCGATTACGAGGGCAAGGAGACCGTCTCGGAAGTCAATGCTTTTAGCGACCATCAAACACACCACGTTGAGGACTTTGTCGAAGACGGTTGTCGCGATTGGCGGCGTCCAGCCCCAGGTCACGGGGACTTCGACGAACAACATCGTCGCGATCCACGGCGAGAGTCCGAGGGCGAATCACGTTGGGAAACTGAATTTTGGGTGGAGATCCCAGAGTTCTCCAGTGGGTTTAATGTGGCTGAATTCCTCGATTAGTGGGACACCGTCGAATCCGTGCTCGAGTTCAAGGATGCCTCGGACGATCGGTGAGTCGCGCTCGTCGCGATGTGGCTTCGTGGCCGAGCGGCCGCATGGTGGATACAACTCAAAAGTGTGCGACATCGTCAAGACAAGCCAAAGATCTTGACTTGGACAAATTTTCGTAAGCACTTAGAATGCGAATTCTCGCTTTTTAATTATGCGCGTTCATTTTATCAGCAATTCTAGGATTTAAGGCAAGGGCAGCGTTCGGTTGATGATTACACGGACTCCACGCGCGTGGATGTTCGAGAGAGAACGGACCAAATCGTTTCGCGGTATGTGGGTACTGTAACGCCCCACTTTATTTGGAAAGATTTATCGAATTTATTTAATAAAAACCACAATAAATTTTTTCGCAAACATTAATTTAATTAAAAACTCAGTGGGCGCTACTCAACCTACCAAAAATGCTAACACAGCAAATAAAGGCAGCATGCACGAATAATAAACCATAAACCAATCTAGCATTCATTAGGTTCCAATTCATAAAAGATAATTCATAATTCCATGTTCCGAAATGACATAACCAAAAAAATCCAAATTCAACATGAGTTCATGAACTAAGCGGAAGCAAGGTTAATAAAGCAATAAATAATAATATAACCACCACTCGTCATCTCGTCTCGTCACCCGCCAGCTGCTTAACCTGCATCCGTGAAGAGCAGGTGGGAGTGAGTACAGTTAAATATCGTACTCACACTATGCATATGAATAACATAACAATGGTATGGTCGCAGCATGAACATAAACAATGATGACAACATGTCTCATCTCCTAATCAAAATCACACCATTTAACCTTACTCATGTGCACATCTATCGCTAGCCGCAGAACGGGGATTCATTACCCGAAGGCGGGAGTACGTGCCACTGTAACGGACACGGCCTTCCATATGGGCTTACGTACCTCACAAGGGTACGGCCATATCAGGACTTAAAGGAGATTGCCACACAAGGGCACCGTACCGTAACTCGACGGGGACAACCGTAACAACTCACATCGATAGGCTACATGTTCACATGC